ACTCTTCCAAGTTTATACATCAGCATTACTTTTAAAACAAGATGAGAATGAATATCCACAATGAAGCATAAAGAGATAAAAATCAGATGGGCTTTCATAAGTTCACAAAACAGTGGGATATAATGGAAACCACATTTCATATCAGAGAGGCCAGGGTCTGAAACTAGTTTTACCAGTTCTATAAATATGTCACTTGATCATCTCTGAATTGCATATTCTATATTTGGGAAGTAGAATGGTGTTTTTTTTTTTAATGTGGAGTTGTTATAAATATGTACCTTGTGTAATGAATGCCCCCAATGCATTTTTATTAAGTAATTATCTGTTTTCCTACTTAAATATCACTATACTGTTTTCAAGGTTTAGATAAAATCTTCATAATGAAAGTATGCCCAAATATAGTTGATTTGTAAACTATAAATGTTAGTTAATAAATCAAAATTAGTTCACTAACTTTAAAACTTTCAGTTTAAAACAAAAATGCTCAAAGGAATATCAGTTGTCAAAGGAATATGTTTCATGCCACTTTTGTAAAATTATATATATGCAATATATGCACACTCACAGAAAATAAAAATCCTAGAATAATCTTGATCAGATAGAAAACGCATAGGTATAGGTCAGCCTCTAATACAATAGTTTTAACTATCACAGAGGAAAAACTGTAGAGACAAAATTTTTAAATCCTGTCCTATCCCACAACACCTTTCAGGATTCTGAATGACTGAGCTAGTAATATAAACCTGCACTTCTGGTTATCCTATTTAAGATCTAAAAGTAGTTTTCTGATGCCTCAATGATGAAATTGCAAGTCATATCTGCAAAGTATAAGAAAGATATATAATATTCAAGAAATTACAGAAGAACATCTTTCTGAAAGAGACTTACTATAGAAATCAAAAAATATTTCAGAAAGGGTCTGCTTTGAGCTGTCAAGGAAAACTATAAATGCTTTCTTCTTTAATTTATTCTTGTTTTCATATGTCATTGTTCCTTTTTGTACAATATCTGATTTTCCCCTCAGGTCCAGTCCCTGTACTTCTCCCACCACCATATCACCCATGAACCATTACAGAAGCCCCTGTGCCTTTCCCTTACCCATCTTAATCCCTCTTCCTCCCCTTCCCCTTGCCACAAGTCTATGGTCAGCTTGCTAGTATTGTCCTTTTCCGACCCTTTGTTCCGTTTCCCTATATTCCACCTATAAATGAAGCCATCCAATATTTCTTTTTCCTTCTGACTTATTTCACTTAGCATAATCCTTTCCAGCCCCATCCAAGTTACTGCAAATGGCATGAGTTTATCTTTTGTAATCGCTAAACAATGTTCCATTGGGTATATACACCATATCTTCTTAATCCAATCAACTGTCTGGGGGCATTTGGTTGTTTCCATATCTAGCTATTGTAGGTGGGTGCTGCAATGAACACAGGAGTTCAGGTATCCTTTCAAATTCATGTTTTTGTGTCCTTTGGGTAGATTCCTAACTGTGGAATCACTGGATCATATAGCAGATCCATTTTTAGTGTTTTGAGGAATTTCCACATAGCTTTCAATAGTGGCTGGACCAGTTTACATTTCCACCACCAGTCAAAGAGGGTTCTTTTTTTTCCACATCGTCAGCATTTATTGTATCCAGTTTTTTAAATATGAGCCATTCTCAGCAGTATGAGGTGGTATCTCATTGTGGTTTTGATTTGCATTTCCCTGATAATAAGTGAAGTTGTCAATGCTTTCTTGATACAGACAACAAAAGTTTAAATGAGACAAAAGACTGAGAGTTTTCTTGAGACTGATAGAATTTTAAAAATAACAAAAAATATCATAATGGCATTAAAATGGTAATTAGAAAGAAATTTTAAAATGTATACATCAGAAAATTAAAACATTGATATAAAACAGAGATTTGAGAGGTGAATGGGGGCAAAAAATGATAAATGTAGAGGATAAAAGAAGATCCAACAAATGGCTAGTTACTGCTCATGAAGAAATGCACCAGTAAGTAGAATGGAAACACTAAATAATAAAACAGAAAAAATGATAACATAAAAGATAATTATACAAATAAAAAAGAGAAACATTGACAAATGATGGATAGTAACAAACAGTGAATTAGTGAAAAAAATAAAAAGAGAATACAAATAAGATAGTAAGAATACTAGATTAACCTAATATGACAATGGATGATCCTACCTATTATGAAGATAGCAATTAAAAAATATACTTGTCTATGAAATCTGCGAGTGACACAACTAAGAAAGATTAAAAATAAAAGAATGGGCAAACATATACCATATAAATAAAGCAACAAAAAAAAAGGCAGATTTTCATTATTTGTGAATTTAATGTACAATCTACAATGAAAACGGAACAAATTTCTTGAATTTCTTTCTACACAAAAACTGTGTTTGTATATAATCATATATCTGTGATTATATACAAATATATGATTATATATCATATACTTATCCTATATCTGATATATATCTGATAATCACAGATATATGATTATATACAAACACAGAGAGCTCTACCTCATTATCTCAATTGTAGCACATCCCATCACAAGATGATGAGTTAAGAAAGCAACAAAACCAGGGGCCTCCCCGGTGGCGCAGCGGTTGAGCGCTGGGTTGCGAAGCTGCCCATGGCCTCTGCAGTGCCGGTTCGATCCCGGCTGCTCCCCGGCCACCGGAGGAGGCTCCCACATGGCGCGCAGACCTCTCCTGCCGCCCGCTGCTCCCCTCAGCAGTGTACCTCAGTCCTTCTGCCTGCTCTGCTCCCCGCGCTCGCTCTGGTGAATTCTCTCACCCTCCCGCACTTCTGACTGTACCCAGTGCATGTATAAACAAGCAAACAAACAAATAAATAAATAAATAAAACATGCCTCTATAAAAAAAAAAAAAAAGCAACAAAACCATATAACCATAAGTAATGTTATTCTTTGTTTTTAACTGTTTATTTGCACAGAAAAACCAAAACACCATCAAATGAAAGGGTATTCATTTCATGTTTGCAATTACCTTTCTTGAGAACACTTAGTAGTGAAGAAAAGTTACACATTTCTACTTTGGGGTCCCCAAATTCTTTATGATTCTTATAAGAATACATTCATTTTTAACAGAAAAAAAAAGAAGTGGATGCCAAAGATTTAAATATTCAGTCCTTAAAGTAATTTCTTACTTGATACTTTGGAACAAATTGCCAAGAATTAACATCAGCAAATAGAACATTTATTGACTCTCTTAGAAAAACAAAGTGAGAGTTACTTGAAGAAAAAAATAGGGATAATTGAAAGAAACAGTTTTTAACACTTGGTATAAACAATAGAGGATGTAAATATTCAGAACAATATTTACTTGCTTGGCTTGCAGAGTGCTAATAGAAATGACTCAAAATCACAGTTTTGTGACTACTAGATTATGTTTATGTCTATATTCCACTCCGAGATTTAGGCTCTTTAAAGACATTCCAGAGAATGTCATATGGAAGGATATTTTCTACCAAAGTTACAAGGACAGTTTTGAAATTTCCAAGATTCTTCACACATACTTTTTTTCTAAAATTCCACAAACATTGACTTGATAAATCATAGCTAGAAGAGTTAGATGTATAAAATTATGAATAACACGTAAGTCCTAAAAGGTAACCCTTCTACCTAAATAGAAAATAGAACTGAGAATAATTATCTTCTAGGGATTCAAATAGAATCACATTGTGAGTACTAAACACAAGGAAACCAGATGATTTTAAACCATGAAAGAATGCAGTAAGTGTTACTATTTTTACTAAACATCAAGTTTGAAAAAAAAAAGGGCTCAGACTATACCATGAAGAGTGGGTAAGGTACTGATTAATTTTGTGATAATATAATTAAAAATGATCTTTTAAAATATTGTCCTCGTGTATCTAGAGCAGTTATAATACTGAAAACATTTCTACTTAATGTAACATTTAAGTTTTAAATATCCCTGAAGCATGTAATGGATGATTTTGCAAGATTCCTACTTAGCAATTCTGAAAAGCAAGAGACTTTCGAGGATGCATTCTCAATGGGTGGATGACATCGCCCCCAAGTGTGGGTGAATTCTGATGTCTTCTTTATGCATAAAGCACAGGTATATACATACAGTACCATAACCACATGTACAGGACAGCTGGGGTATTGAAATGTAATGAGAGGAAAACAACAACAACAAAAAATTTAATGAGAAAGGTAATTAGGAGGATGCCTTAAATCTGGATTCTAATCTCTATCCAGAGGTAAGAACTTGGGCAAGTAACCTTAACCATAATATGAAGTCTAAGTTTCCTCACGAATACAATGTAAATTAGGACTTCTCCCTTATAGCTAGAGACTTAAATAGGAAAGAAAGATACATAGCATGCAGCACCAGGCTAGGAATATAGTTTCTGCTAAATGAATATTAGCCCCCTCCTTCCCTTTTCTCCTCTCCTTTGCAGACACTGAAAATTATATACTCTCCACACACTCAAACACACAAAAAAGAAATACTCAGATCTCAATGGTAAATGAGACAGGAGGAGAAACGGAAGAGACTTCAAAGGCAGTGACTTTTGTTCATGATTCTTTCCCAATGATGGAGAAATCGAAAAGACTTGACTTCAACTCCCCAGTCTGTGATTTTTCTTAGTTGTATAAGCCTGGCAAAGTTGCTTGAGTTTTATAAGTCTCAATTTCTCTATCTGTATCCACAGAGTTGTTATAAAGAACAAATGTGATCATGTGTGTGACACTTTTTGGGAACTACATGCCACTACACTAAAGCTACCTTGTGATAGTTGTAACTCATGTTAATATTGCCTGAAAATGAAGATGCTGACTTATAGTGTGCATGTTATTGGGAAGGAATGAAAAGAACAAAAGCTGTGCTCTTTTGTGCCCTAGGACAGCATCAAGTCTTCAAAATCCAAACCCCAAAGGCAGAATTTGACAGTTTAAATCTACTTTTAAAAAAAATTGTCAGTGGATTTCTTACTTATTTTTTTGTTCTTCATCTGTATAGAGATCATTTAAAAAAGAGGTTCCAAATGCTTCCACTACTGTTTTGTGGCCTTTCTTGTTGACTGTATGGTATATTCGAGAAGCCAGGCACAAGTCAATGGGCAGCTTCTTGGCTGGGACGGTGGTGCACAGGTGATGAAGGTTGCGGATGGAGTAGTCTTGCGGAATTCTACAGCATAGAAAAGGAAGTGGGTTTCTATTATCTTTTTGTAGTCTTTATCTATAAGCACATTTACATTAATAGCTTACTTCAAGTTCTAAAAAGGATGACCAAGTGCGGGAGATCAGATTTAAATCTACATTAATGGTTTATAACCAATTTAATCTCACAATCTCAGATGACTGACCAGTACTTCAGAATCATATATCCAGCTGCTTACTGAAGACCTCAATCTACCAGTCTTCCAGACACCTCAGGATCAACAAATCAAAAAAACAAACTCATTATCTGCCTACCCCCAACCTATTCTCTCCTGAATTCTGTAGCTCACTCGGTGATACTACATCCACTCATCATGAATTACTCCTTTGCTAATTTTCTCAAATGCTAACATACCTGAAGTCATAGGTCAGTGTGGTACACTGTGTGTACGGTAGCTAGCATCGGTGTGACCCTGGGTCTCTTTAAGTCAATTTGGCTTTCCTCTCCCTTCTCCACTAAGATGGAACTTGCCTCTTTCCAGCCTTTCCAAAGTAGAGGAAGACATGAAAATCTGCTTCCTTAAATTTCAGTGCCACTTGCCACCAATCAACAAATGCTTGCTGTATACCTACTACGTGACAAATTCTGTGCTACGTGCTTTACACACATTTTCTCTAACTCCCACAGTGAGCTTATATGAGTGGTATTATTATCCTTATTTTAAAGTACCTTATTTTGCATAAGTGGCAAAACTAGTAAGTGGCTTCTATGATCTAAACATAATACTGCAGATTAAAAGCCAAATTTATTGCCTATTAATGCTTATTAATGATCCCCAAGGAGGATGAGGCCCTTATCCAGTACTAGTCCATCCCCACCTCCCTATTAAAGCTTACACTTACATTACCTAAAATACATAAAGGTTACTCTTACATTAACCAAAGAGGACATTTTCATCAAATCAAATAAACTTTATATCTTTAGGTTGTGTTAGCTATAACATCCAATATATTGACAATATTGATAAGTTCCTGATGTTGTTCTTCTTCCAAAAGCTTTTTTAAGCTGCCACTATACCAGATATCCACCTGCCTCTCAAATTCACTGGTTTTCCTTCCCCATCTTCCAAACTGAGTATGACTTCTAAGGTTGAACTTCTCTTAAAAAAAAAAAAGTCAACTGTTTTCTGTGTGCTGAGAGCTCCCAAAGCTCATCTTTTGCATCAGCATCTCACCTAGATTCCTCATCTTCAAGGTACAAAGCATCACCACCATGTTTGACTCCTCTCTCCTTCACTTGCAAAGCCAATGAAAAACTGAGTGTCTGCCCTGCACAGGGCTACTCAGGTGCACTCCATCTGCCTCCTCACTTCCAAAACACTCTAGCCAGGGTCCTCATCACCTCAGCCTGAGTGCAATAACAGGGGTCTGCTCGTGGCTGAGCACCGCATCTCTGTCTCTTCCCTCCTTCAACACGCCCTGGAAAACCCTACCACACTGATCTTGAAACACTCCTCCTGCCCAGCACAATGACTTATTTTTTGCATCTGTCTGACATCCTCTCTGCTAAGTCTCAAGCCTCTGGTCCTACTTCTAGATTAGTGGTTAGAGAGTGGACTCTGGTGTTAGACTGTCTATAGCAATCACAGTGTTAGTGCATCCTGGATAAGTTTAAAGAAAGAAAGGTGCAGATGCATTCAGAACGGTGTCTCTCACACGGCAGATTTAGCTATTATTACCAGTTTCCAGGACAAATCACCGGCACAGCAAGAGGTGTCATTTTCTTTAGTTAAGGATAGAATGCTCCCTATCCTTTTGTCCGCAGCTAAATGTTCTTCAGAAAAATGGCAAGGACAAACCTCTTTGAAATTTTACTGTTTCTTTTTTCTTGTTACACAGTATTTCTTTTCATACATCAACCTCCTTTTGTGCCACCCAATTTGAGGCTATCTACCGACTGCTCCATGTGCCTGGGCTTGTCTCAGGTAATAGTATAGATTACAGATTTGGGCGCTGGTTGGACCTGGAAGAATCTCAGTTCTAACATTTGCAAACTATATTACAAGTCTCTGTAGGTCTTCTGTAAAGTGAGAATAAAATTCCTTAATTCTTGTCTTCGTAAGAAATGATAATACTAGCAGTTCCTAGTCTGTAATACTCTCAAGAAGTGCTTGTTTCATTTTTATTGCTGTTATTAATTTGCACTGCACAGCACCCAATTCATTGCTAGACATGAGATGTGTATTATGATTCACTAATAGTTTATATCATTTCTGAAACAGCACAAGGCCCAAAAAGAATAGGACATGATATTTATACATGTTCAAGTAGAGAGAAAAAGAGAAGTAGATCTAAAGTGTTTGGAAATGACTGACACAGAAAGACCTAACTTGGGAGAGAAAATTGGTCTCTGGGAAGTCAGAGGTCCTGAAGGGCTGTTTTGTAAGAAAAGATCAGGGGTAAAAAGAGGGAAGAAAAAAGTGAGTTCTGATGTCAAGCTCACCTATATCATCATTCTGTCTGGAACAGGTCCTGGCTAGTGGAATGTACTTGAGATTACATTACAGATTTTTTTTTTCTTAAAAAAAGCATCACAACCAATCTGAATTCCTCTGTTCCCATTATACTCTAAAAACATAGATCTGCGAGTGAATCGCCCTTGGTTACTGAGCTAAATAACATCATGTTTTTCAAAAGGTGGCTGAACTTCCAAGAAAACAATTAATGTTAGCACCTAGTCACCAGTGAGAAAAGTTAGTTTAAAAAAATGATTAAGGAAAAAGGAGCAGTGAATAAAAAATTTTCAAAAGCCCCTTTCCAAAATTCTCTTTTACATAATTTTTGTTCAATATCAAATTTTTATTTCTCTGCACTCATTTTTCTTTCTCTCTCATGGAAATTTCTAATTTCAATTTAATGAATTAACATAGTATTATATATGTCAAAAGATCTACAAATATTTTTGGCATGCTCAAGGAAGGCTGTGTGTTTTCATAGTACACTCTCCTTAAACAGGACTATTTGTCATTCTTTGAAACACTAAGACATAAAAAAGAAAAGACTCTGACTCTGTGTGTGGCCATGCTACTTTGCTTAATGCACTAAATGCAAGGTTTTTTAGAAAAAAAAATCAAGAAGTTTCTGCTTCATTGATAATCTGACAGTAACTATTTATTGAAGGTAAAATACTTGTTGTCTGCTGTCACTATTTGTTTTAATACATAATCTTGCTAACTAAATGAGCTTAAAGCAATGCAGATAAGCAATGGCATGTAGAGGGTCACTTAAATGCCAATTTGACTCTTTCATAAACTCTGGAATTCTTTTCCCATGAGTCTGTTCTCAGCTACTAAATTGTGAGTAATATCCATTTACAAAGTTTAGGTTGGCCATAAAAGGTTGTCTTCTATGTCCAGCACACCTTTCAGTGCCCTAAGCAATGACAAAAGCTAATAATTAATGCTCCTTTAAGCCCCCATAAAGAGTTAAATGAAGAAGAATCTAGAATAAACCAACCCATAAAAACCTAGTGGTGAAATAAGCAGAAAATCAGTTTCAACAAGGAGTGGCAAAGAAAAACCATAAATTTAAAATACAGTTCCACATTATTATTCAAAATTGTGATTGCATCCCTGAATAAGGAGAAACTCCATTAAAAATATGGGGGGGGGGCAGGAATTGAAACATAAAATGGTAGTAGAGAAAAATAAGATCATCTAAATTACCAAATCAATTGGCCTCTGGACATTTCATGTTGGGTTAGCATTTATTTTATCATAAGATTAACCAATATAATAGTTAATACAAATTAGTCATTGTAATAAACAAAATTATAAAATCTAACATTTTAACATTGAATTTTCTTTTATCTCACAAAGGACTTATTTACTCTGGCTATTGTGACGATATTAAACTAAGGACATTGGTCAAAAACAAAATAGAAAGAAGTGTATATGTCCTAACTGTGCTATCTACTACCAACCCCTCTTATGAAAAGGTTTAATTAAATTGGACCTCATACATAAATTTCTAAAGCATTGAATTTTCCTTCTAAGAATGCATTGTCAGGTATAAATGTTACTGAGTAACTTCTCTTCAGACATCAAAATTTGTAAAGTTAAGGAGTTTACTTTTTTGTAGGTTGTTTTTGATCCTGCAGTGGTTTTGAAGACTTTGTTCGGCCTTGTGGAACTTTTAATTTATTTGTTAGCATGTGCTTAATTTCTTTTCCTCTGATTTGGATATTTTCAGATGATTCTCCCTTTAAAAAATATAAAGTGTGTTATTAAGGAAAGTTTTACAAAGAGAGTTAGATCTTTCACTCATACTTAATGGTCAATCTTAAATTTAAACTCCAGATAGATAGATAGATAGATATCTGATAACAACATAAATTGTAAAAGTAAGTTGTTATTTTCCTCTAAATCCATTGCTAAATTTTTACATATATACCTTCACAGCAATAAAAATGTTAGTACCAGATTTATTTGTATTATTTTATTACCTTAAAATTATTAAAGAAGAAATATAACATTTTTCCCCAGGTAAATCTCTTCTGAATTGATATTTTTAATAGAAATGACTAAACTTAGTCTCTTAAATCTGGCATTACTGGGGCTGCAAGCACAAGCCAAAATGAACTTTAATGCTTTATATTACTTCCTACAGTTTGACTGTTTTCTATTTCTACTTGCTTGGGGGAAAATCGAGTGCATTTTTTTCTCTTGATTAATTGCCTTTCAATCCTTATAGGTATTTGAGAGTATTGTTTTCCTAGATGTCCTAGAAAATCTGCAGAATCCATGTTAATAGTCCATCTAAGGATATTTTTTTTTCTGTGGATTCCTCTGTATTTTAGAGACTAGATCCTAGGGAAAAAGCAGGCAGCTTTCCTTGGGGAAAGCAGAAAGCTATGATTGAATAAGTGAAGGAGGCCAGATTAAGAAGGGGGCTTAAAAATTAGGTAGAGGGGTTGAAACAGTAGTAAGGAGAGAGTTATTGCAATTTCTTGGGTAAGGAATTGATGACAAGTGAGGAAAGCTCAGAGAACAGAGAGCAATCCATCTCACATCCAGCTAACATTTAAATTTCCTCTAGAGTATCTACACTAGCTGGTGATCTATCCTGGCTTAAACATGGTCAGGAACAGAGGACTTGGCTACAACCAAAGATACCCATTTTCTTTGTGAAACTTTTCCATTTATTAGAATTTTTGTTTCTTCGCTTATTTATTATTGAGCTTAACAACTTTCATCCATTAGTCTGAATTCAATCCTTGAGATCATACAGTAACAATCTAACTCTCTTCCTCTTGACAATCAAATATTTTAACACAGTTGACTCCCCTGTGCCTTCTTTTGCCCAGGTCCACATCCCAGCCCCTTTAATTCTAACTTACGTGACATTTATGTTTTGAAGTATTATGCTTTGAAGAATGCTTGTAGAATATTATTTCAAACAATCTCCAATTTGTCAGTGTCCCCCCTGGGGCTAGACACCCAGTTCTCAACATATCATTTAAAGTGTGATGGTGATTAGATAAACCAGGAGAAAGATGATTCTCTTTGATGGCATTTGTCAATCAACATGAACTATGATTGCATTTGTCTTCCTATCACAAAACTAAGTTATAATAAAAAAAAAATCTGAAGTCTTTTTTGCTTTAAGTCATGACTTCCCTATCTGTGCACTTACTTCAGACCCATGGCTAAACCATACACACATTTATCTCAATTAGATGTCATCTCAGCTCTGGCCAATCCAATCGCATCAATCACATTTTGTTTTCTGCAACTCCAATCAGTAAATCTTCCATATTTCCAACCAAATTATTGGGAAATATGGTAAACTGAAAAAGCCTGTAGCCGTCCACTATGGATTTCATAATGAATTGTGTGTCCTTTGCATAATTGATTAAAATCCAGGGTCTCCCTGGTGGCACAGGGGTTAAGCACAGCACTGTGAAGCTATCCACAGCCTCTGCAGCACGAGTTCAATCCCCGGCCAGCCAGGGAGCTACCCAGCAGCAGACCTCTCCTGTTTTGCCCGCTGCTCCCCTCAGCAGTGTATTTCAATCAGTCTGCCTGTTCTGCTCCCCACTCTGTCTCTGATGAATCCTCTCATACCCGCACCTCTGGCTTGTACCCCAGTTCTTGTATGCATAAATAAATAAATCTTTAAAAAAATAAAATTAAATTAAAAAAAATCCATCTAGCAGTTCACTTAACTGCAATCTCACCTACAAAACAAGACCACAGACTTGCTCACTGTCACTGGAAAGCTTTCCTAAATAGTTGCTGAAATCCAAAGGATAATAACAATTAATGTTTATTTAGTTTTCTTTTATGCCGGGCTTTTCACCATGACACTCTTGTGTTGAACTCCAGTTCTAACTTTTTTCTGATGTTTAGCCTAACAATTCTAGAACAAGAAATAAGGGTTACCTCCCAGAGCTTGTTTTTAGGAAACCCATGCTAGCTCCAAGTGATTGCTACTTCCTCTTATGAGGGTTCAAATGCAATTCATTTAATCATCCTACAGCTGAACTTTGCCCAAGATAAATCCAAATATCACAGGAACATAAAGTCTTATTCTAAAACAAAAGAAATAAAACCCAGATTTCCAGTTGCCAGTGTCCAGGCGACTAGCATCTCCCCCACCACAGCAGAGCCTCAAAGCTACTGTGACAGACACACAACAGGCTTAAACCTACCTGCCTGAGCCTAGAGGCTCACATATCTAAGTTGCCTCTTAAAATCTTTTACCAACCTTGGGTTTCATGTTTCTTTTATCAGTTCTTTTACTCTACTTTTTAAACAAGAGATCATGCTCCTCGTCAGATGTAAGAGAAGCAGAGTACAAGTTTATCAGTTTGCTTTTCTTTTTGTCATATTTGTTTATTTAAAACCTCAATGTTATCCCAAAAATAAAATAAGGCAGTTCTGTCATCTCTTGTCATCACACTATTCATCCATAATGACAGGGTTATCCTTCCCTTTTTCTCTCTTCACTCCAAAACTAACATGAAAAAAAAAAAAAAACTTTTTGTATCCCTAGCTTTATTCACAGGCCTCAACCCATTCTGGATCCTAGCCTTCTTGGTATAATTGTTGTAGCCACATGCCACTTTCATGTTTATCTGTGGATATGTACTTCTTCTTTCATCTCTTGTCTTTTTTCTAAACTCTGAATGAAATAGATCACTCATAATTGTTTTGAAAGAATTTGGGGGAATTTAGGGCAACCCACATCTCTTAAACTTCCTTCCATTTAGAATTGCAGAATATGTGATAGCTAAATTTTTGGCCTAGCTCCCTTCTAAAATGCTTAATAATCCTCTCACAGCCTCTTCTGTCAGTCATTTCTTCAGAGTCATCATTAATTCTTTTGTATTTTGGTTGGTCATGACTAAGACTGGAATCTTAAAAACCTTACTATACTAATAAGCTTCTAAGAGTAGAGAGGGCCAATAAGGTAAGAATTGATCTACTGTTTTGTTGCATGAAAATTCCCAGCATTTATATGAGCCCTGCATTACTCTTTCATCACACCCCCATCCTATTTTTTAGTTATGGTAAAAGAGATCTTCTTGACTGTGGACAGCCTCTCTGGGAAGCTTGGCATAATGGCCAATGGGCTGCCCAGAACATCATCCCTGCTTCGACTGGCACCACCAAGGCTGTGGGCAAGGTCCTCCCAGAGCTGAACAGGAAGCTGACTGGCATGGCCTTCCATGTTCCCACCCACAATGTGTCGGTTGTGGATCTGACCTGCCAACTGAACAAAACTGCCAAATACAATGACATCAAGATAGTGGTAAAGCAAGTATCACAAAGTCCCCTTGAGGGCATCCTGTGCTACACTGAAGATCAGGTTGTCTCCTGCTATTTTATCGTTATTTTTTAAGAGAAAGGTTGATTTCAGCCTCTCTATTTCACGATGTTGTGAGTGGAGTTGTCTCCTATGATTTTATTTATTTTTTTAAGATTTATTTATTTATGTATACAAGAACTGGGGTACAGGCCAAAGGAGTGGGGGGTGAGAGGATTCACTAAAGACAGAGTGGGGAACAGAACAGGCAGACCGACCGACTGAAACACACTGGTAAGGGGAGCAGTGGGTGATACAGGAGAGGTCTGCTGTGCCATGTGGGTAGCTCCCTGGCCGGGGATCGAACTCACACTGCAGTGGCTACAGATAGATTCATAGATTACATCTTAATCCTTTGCACCACCAGGGAGGCCCTGTCTCCCATGATTTTAAGTGACACCCACTCCCCCACCTTCCTTACTGGGGCTGACATTGCCTTCAATGACTACTTTGTCAAGCTCATTTCCAATCAATTTGGCTACAGCAACAAGGTCGTGGATCTCATGGTCCACATGACCTCCAAGGAGTAAGAGCCCCCTGGACCAGCAACCCCAGTGACAGCACAAGAGGAAGAGAGGCTGCCTCCACTGCTGAGGAGTCCTCCCCCGACTCATCCACACTGAGAATCTCCTGACCTGTCAAAGTTCCATCCCAGACTGGCTGGAGAAGGGGAGGGGTTTGTCATGTAGCATCAATACAGTACACTGTAACCAGCAAAAAAATAAAAGTGATCTTGTCCACCCAATCTTGGCTTTTTTGGAGTATATTGTTCCTCATTCCTATGTCATAGATGTTAGAAATTAATTTTATGGACTCAGATGTCCAAACAGGGTAAATTCATGGATAATAACTGATCTTAAGATGTTAACACAAATAAACACAAGATAGATAATGAAGACCCAGTGGAATAAGTCACAGAAATACTTCCAGTGTTATTGTTATGGCATTTCTCACTTGCCTCAAAATATCCCACAATAAAACACAAAGTCTGATCAGACATTCTCTTTTCCTCCCCTGGAAACACTGCTGGTTTCTGTTTAGAGCTCTCTTAATCCAAGTCTCTGCGATCAAACCATTCCTCCTAGTTTCAGGAGGGACACTCAATAGCCGGTCATTTTTACAGTTCAGAGTCTATGTTCTTGTACGTCACCAGACACTGGGTAGTTGTTATGAAAAGGCAGTGTTGCCAAGTGTTAAAGAGTGAAGGTTCCAGATTAGAACACATCAGCTCAGGCCCTGCCTCCACAACTTAATTAAATGGTTGTACTTGAGTATGTTACTTATCATCTCTATGACTCAGCTTTTCAACTATAAAATGAGGGTAATAATAGAGCTGCTACTAGGAAAAAATAAGATATCATATGCAAAGCATTAGTAAAGTTGCTAGCATATGGTAAGCACTCAAATTCTAACAACCTTAGGAAAGGATTACATTTTTTTTCAAAAATAAATAATTTGCATAATTTCTTAATAATATTTCGTAGAAGTCCAAAAAGCCAAAAGAATGAACATTATGGAACTTTTTAAGGGGGCATTTAAATTCCTGATAGGTCATAGTGAATAAACCACTATCTAGAAAACCCAGTTCCATTCTTTGACACATTTTGTTACTAATATTTGACAATCAGGCCAACATTCTATTCCCATCATCCCAATGATCAGGCAGAAGAATAGATGTAACATTACTTGTTCCCACCAGCCTAATACTTTTTCATCTATACCACAGTCTTTAAGGATGTTTCTAAGGTCTTCACACCTAGAAGGTGTCAGTTTAACACACAGGATTCACCCGGAACAGCTAGAAATGAGTGGGTTTCTGCACACTTGGGAGACTTCACTTCATACCCCAAGTGCAATTGGGGTATGACTTCTGGTGGAAGTTATCAGAATGACTTCTGATGGAGTTGTTCAGCAACAACACGACCATTCCTGTGTCCCTCAGAGTTGTGGTAGATTTTCTCTGGTCAATTATTATTTGTGTATCTTCATTATTAGCTACAACTCCCAGAAGACTGATATGTTCATAGGATGAACCTAAGAAATTAGAGCTTGAGAAATGAATAAAAACCAGAAGGTAGTTGAACAAATCCAGACATAAGGTGACCAGGACGCAGAATATGGGCAACTGGAAAAGAGAAGAAGAAGAAAAAAGCATGAATAATAATGTTTAGGAGAAATATAGGCCCTGGTAAACTGATTATATGTGTGAGGCAAGGAAAGTAGAAGGTCAAAACTAAAGGCAAAGTTGTGGAGTTATGAGTTTTGGGCAAAAGTTGAAGAATGGATAACCTGGATGAGTATAGTAGAAACATAGTCATTGGTAGGAGAGGGAACCCAGAAGGAACGCGTTTGACAAGGAAGATAGTTTATCTAAAAATGGACCTCCATCTACAATAGTCCAAGAAAGGTAACTAACAATAATCATATAATATGCTATGGTTCAGTGAAAAGTACTTTCTTAATCCTAATGATAATGTAGCTATTTTTAGATTAACTTGTTTAATAAAAAGTAATCCAAATTAAAGAAAAATACTAAGAAAATAATAGTGAGTGGCCTCCCTGGTGGCGCTGGGGTTAAGTAACAGCACTATCAAGCTATCTCCAGCTGCAGCATGAGTTCAATGTCCCACCCAGGGAGCTACCCCACATGGCACAGCAGACCTCTCCTGGCTCACCTGCTGCTCCCCGCAGCAGTGTATTTCAATAGATCTGCCTGTTCTGTTCCCCACTCTGTCTCTGGTGAATCCCCTCACCCACCCACATCTCTGGTCTGTACCCCAGTTCTCGTATGTACAAATTAATAAAAAATAAACTTTAAAAAAAAAAAACGAAAGTAAGTAACAGTGAGAATATATGCAAATATGATTGAAAGCTACGAATATTATACATAAAGAAAATCTGGGAAACATTCTTGCAATAGGAAAAGACAAAGATTTAGGATAAACCTAAAAGGGACAAGTTACAAAGCTATATTGTAACTTGTAAGCTATATTGTAACTGAGTGCAGTCTTGGTCCCCAGGCAACTGCTCCTAACTTCCTCAAGATGACAATGGGAAGATCCTTGGCCAATTTCTGAAAGTCTTCAGGTCCTTCCCTCTTTAAAAATCTGTCTTCCCTCCCCAGACTTGCAATTATGTTTGTTAGCAGTTGCACACAGGGTTTCTTTTCAGGGTAACTCACCTGCACCCCCCCCCACTCTCCCACCCTCTACCCATTGCCTTGGCCCTTGCCTGGGCCATTTCTTTACATCTGAACACCCTCAACTTACAAAACTCTGTATCCAACATAAATAGTGTTTTACCTTTAAAGATAGCCTTTTGGCTGCTTTTGAACCTTTTTCAGGTTCTTTATCTTCCAAAGGTTTACTTGATTGATCAACTGGCTTCACTTCCAAAGTTTCCTGAGTTTTAAACACCATGCTTTCTCCATCTGAGATTCCCCATTCTGATATATCCTCTTGTTCAATCTGTGAAAGACTTGATACAACTTCAGGAAGTTCATCCAGCGCTTCCTTTTGGAAAACATAAATGTACAAGCAAGTTCTTTATATTGGTCCTTCTAAAGTTGTTAAGTCATGCAATGTTTGTTTTTTGGCAACAAAAGCATTCTAAACATGCATGATTGAAATTAAGCTGAGGTAGTACATTTCCTCTGAAGATTTAGAAAGAGAAACTCAAAATGACTTAAGCAATATGGGAAGCCAGGCAAATTATTTGCCTCCACTCTTGTCTTAGAACATGATAGCTATCAGCAAAAACAGTTACATGCTACAATTCTAAGGAAACAAACTCAAATCTTACCGATTCCACTCCACACTCACACAGAGTCAAGGCCAATTGAAACATTCTGCCTATCCTGAGTTTCATTTTTTCTAAGTAGGATTCCTGCTAGTCAGGTACTCTTCTAGAAGCCTGACATCAGGCCTTCAAAGAAGAGTTGACCCAGAGGTCTCAAGAAGAGACCCAGACATACCACTCCGTTCTAAGCTCAGATGAAAAAGTCTTACAAAATGTCATTGCTTGACCTGTTTTGGGTTTCTTAAAAATGCCTCACTGACTTAATCTGTCTCTCAGCAAGTCTTAAGTATCTTTATAGCCATATTTAGGTGTTGCCCAATTTTAAGCCACGATTATTTGGGAGTATGGAGCATTAGCAGGTAAAACTTCACTATCTTAAATTAATAGATAATAAACCTGTCTGATTTATATAAAAGTCAAATTCTATAGACTGAAAATGCAATTTTTCACTTTGTTCTTTGACGCACTCATTGTTAATAAGTAAAAGGTAAAGATGGCATACAGTACCAAATACTTTACAATCTCTTTATAATGAAAGATGAGATATCTGAGAAAAAAAAAAAAAAACTAAGTTTGTAAAGTGAAACTTTTATCTGGAGCTTGTGTTTTTATAAAGATATGGGTTGTGGTAAGAGTAAGAGCTTTATGCCCAATGGGACTTAATTCAAATCCTGGATCAGCCAATTAACAGATTCATGATCACGGTCAAGCAACTTAACTCTTACAACCTCAGTTTTCTCATTGGTAAATAAAAACCAAGCAATAAAACACTTTTCATAAAATCACAGAAGAGATCAAGACTAGGGTAATCTATTTCTATCCATACTTTCCACCTATGAGAGACTTGTTCATCTTATGCTCCATAGCTTTGGCACTGATAATCACTCCGTTTCTTTTAAATTTCTCTGCTCCTGGTTGCCTCAATACAATTTCCAGTTGAGGCTTCAAAACTGACTTATCCAAATACCTTTACTGATTGGCTATTAGTGCCACACATGTTGGGTCCTATAACAAGGGATGAGAGTACAAAAGGGGGAAAGACAAAGTCTTTTTTTTTTTTTTTTTTTTTTTTTAATTTCTAGAGGCATGTCTTATTTATTTATTTATTATTTGTTTGTTTGTTTGGTTTATACATGCACTGGGTACAGTCAGAAGCGCGGGAGGGTGAGAGAATTCACCAGAGCCAGAGCGGGGAGCAGAGCAGGCAGAAGGACCGAAGTACACTGCTGAGGGGAGCAGCGGGCGGCAGGAGAGGTCTGCGCGCCATGTGGGACCCTCCTCCGGTGGCCAGGGAGCAACCGGGGATCGAACTGGCTGCAGAGGCTGCAGGCAGCTTCGCAACCCAGCGCTCAACCGCTGCGCCACCGGGGAGGCCCGGGAAAGACAAAGTCTTAAACCAAGAAGCACCTCAAACTCTAGTAGTTCAATCACATGTGGTAATTCTCATATTATAGGATACATGGCTTTTTGAACTTCCATAAGTTTTCTAAACTTGATACATTAGACTTAAAATGACTTATGCTCCGAATTTTTCTCCCTTGTCAATGCTTTTCACATTTCTAGCTAAATAAATAAAAGTTCCTGAGGAGCTAATGACTTTTACTGCTCCAACTACCTTCTAGATCTGACTGTCTATAGATCAGAATAATTGTTATAATCTTTCCCTTCTGAAAAGAGATAGGCCCCTTAGCTCACAAGATCTATCATAGAAAACAAGGATGAGCCAAAGTAGCCACAGCTCTCATTGAGGTTTTGGATTAGAAGTATTAATAGTGAAACACATCTCTACAGTAAATTGAAGGAGTTTTGGTTTTTTTTTTAACTCTCTAAACAAACATTCATGCAACAGGAGGTAGACTATAAAATAATATAAGCAAGGAATTTTGTTATGAAAGACTTTACCATTTGAGCTTCTTCAACTCTTATCTGTAATCCCTGCTCTGCTGGCTCTTGAGGTGTTTTCCGAGAGCCAATTTTTCCCATTAAAGCAATATCCTTGAAGGAAGAAAATGAAACAATTAGAATAATGCCAATTTAAAAATCACTGAAGCATAGAATTCAGTGCAGCAAAATGCTAGTCAATATAATGCAGTGAATAAGGAACACATAAAAGAGAAAATGAACCAGTCAATATGATGCAGTAAATGAGAAATATAGAACAAAAGATACAATAAAAATACCTTGTCTATTTTTCCAATTTCATGGCTTTTCTAATTATTAACTTCTATAGATGTGTAATCAGATTTAATAAGATGGATAATTTTAAATCAAATACTGTAAAACACTACTATTAAATGACTGCATAAGGAAGATAAAATCAAAACTAAAATTTAATTTAATCAAAAGCAAGGAGTCTGAATGTACTTAACATTTTTACGGGTATAATTGTTAGTGTCATTTTTATCATTACAAATGTTAATTACTATGATATATTCTATGCAGTTGAAGAGGTAAAAAGATAGCACACCAGACTATTGAACAATAAATAGGACTAGAGACCCAGGTTCCGCCCAAACTATAAAGTCACAAATCAAACATCAATTGGCAAATTGTTTTGCTTCCCTTTACCTCAGTTTCATCATCCTTAACAATGGGCATTTTACTGCATGACTCTTTAAGGTCCCTTTTTCCATTCACCTCCAGTAATGCCAACAGTGAGATATGAGCATTTATTTTGCCTTAAAATTCTGCTTTTCTACTTTTTCTTTGTTTCATTAAAGAGATCCAACCAAGGCCAGTGACTTATTCTTAAGTCCTCTTAAATTAAAAAACTATTAAAACTGTACAAAATGTAAGAACAAATATTTTATAACTACACAATTGGCAATAGAAGACTATATTGACTGAACTAGTGGAAAGAAAAATGGTTAAGGGATAAATCACCTCAGATTTCTGCCTCACACAATTTCTAGCCCACAGCATAAGGAGGGGGAAACATGCAGGCCCTCGGTGCCTCACTTAGTTGAAGAGACAGGCATCAGCATGGAAACGATAAAGAGAGCAGAATTTGCAAGGCCTGGTACTGAGCGGTGGTAGCTACATATAGAATGACCCAGAAATCTGCATAGAACCATTAAACTTTGGCTGAATACCAATCTGCTCATGCAATGGTGAAACCCAAGAGACCAAAGAAAAAAAATGCCTCAATTTTATAAAATGGGAACAATAATAGTACACACCTCAGGTTTACTATGAGGCATAAATGAGAATATATTCAAACAAAATATCTCATTAATAATAAATAGTATTACTCACATTAAAATAAAAAGCAAAATAGGATGACCATTGTTACCATCATAATTTGACTTTATCCTGGAAATTCTAGCTATGAAATAGAAACAAAACATACGATAAATGATTTAACCAAATTACTATTATTTCAAGAGGATGTGATGATAGGCCTACAGCCCCCAAAAGTCCATTGTAAATCTATTAGAAATAGGTTGGGTAGGCAGAAAGTCAATTCACAAAATCTAAATCCAAAAAATGAGAAAAGAAAAAAAAAATCACGAAATATATAAAGTACAAAATAGTGTTAGGAAATGTTATTTAAAAAAACTACTGAGAAATAAAAATTGTCTTGAATCATAAATCTTGGATCTGGTACTAAGGGAGAGAAAAGAGAGAAAATTCTTAGAAGAAACTCAATGTAAGCATTTTGCCTAACAGGTATTGATTCTATCTCCCTGAGTCAAAAAATTATAAACAAGTAGTAAATTTCCACATCGTTTGCAGGTTCTAGCATAATGTTAAACAAATATTTTAAATACTTGAAAATTTATAAAGCCGTGAGCAGTCCAATTTCACAATCCTGGATACATTTCTCATGTGTCTCACAGCAGTTCCAACCCGGGGCATCTTAGTTAGAATCTAAAAATGTCAGAGCAGGAAAGATCTTGATGGAACATCAGCTCCTCCCCACCCCACCCCCCACTCTTCCTCAGGCATCCAGGCTGTGCCCCAAATGATGGTGGCAGATACTGGCCCAGAGAATGTTTCTAACATATACCCTTTCATGGCTTCGTCAGCCCCTATTCAAGGTGCACTGCCTTTAAATAACTATTACTATGAAGTTCAAGTTTCAGAAAGAAGGAAAGAAAAGACATTTTTATGGCCCTAAACAAATACTTGTCCACACAGGTTACCTTCTTGAAAAACTGCCCTGATTTGCATTGACTTTCTTTAATTTTCCCTGCAGGCAAAACCCTGCAGGCATTGGCCTGTAGAATCCTGCTTACAGGCACAAGAATGTGTCAGGGCTGCTTTGCATTCATTTTTAACCACATTTGAGTTTTAAAAAAATTAAACATTTTCTATGATTGTTCTGGATGGCTGGACTGAAGAATGTATTCAGTAAATTGTCACTTTAGAAAAACCTGATTAAAACAACAGAACTCAGTTGGCTCCCATCTAAATTTAAACATCAAAATTGTTACAGATACTATCTATTACTAAATATATAATGTATCTTTTCCACAGAGTCCTAACAAAATATGCCCTGTTATTTAAACAGGCTAAAAAACAAAATAGTTCCAGAATCACTGTTTCAAGTAATTTCCACTTTTTATATCACTCTTCTGGTAGGTGCCCTATAGCTTAAAACTATATGGGGCTTTTAGAAATAAATGCCTGACAGACCTCCCCGGTGGCCCAGCAGTTGAGTGCTGGGTAGCGAAGCTGCCCACAGCCTCTGCAGCGTTGGTTCGATCCCCGGCTGCTCCCCGGCCACCAGAGGAGGGTACCACATTCAAAGTGCCAGTTCAATCCCTGGCTGCTCCCGGCCACCGGAGGAGGGTCCCACATGGCGCACAGACCTATCCCTCCGCCCGCTGCTCCCCTCAGCAGTGTACTTTGGTCCTTCTGCCTGCTCTGCTCCCTGCTCTGGCTCTGGTGAATTCTCTCACCCTCCCGTACTTCTGACTGTACCCAGTGCTTGTATAAATAAATAAATAAATCTTTAAAAAAAAAAAAAAAAGAAAGAAAGAAATGCCTGAAACATTCATGGAAAGTATGTTTGATTCAGATTGTAGAAAACAGATACACTGAGAAAAATATTTCCAGAATATCACCAAGTCTATGTAGGGCAATACACTGTTTTTCACTCCTTAGATATTCATACCAGGGAAGGTAACACAAGATCCAGGTTTTTCCTTTCAGAAGTTTACACTCATTTTTCAAGTCACCATGTCTGCTCCTAGGTTATAGTATCTGCTGTGTCAGATAGGACGGTCCTTTGAATTTAGCACAAAGTCTTCAGTGAGTTATGATGCGACCAGCTACAGTGCTTCCTGGCTAGGAATTCAAGAGATATATAGAGCAAGATGCTTTTTTTTTTAAGAAGCTTACTATTTAGTTAGACAAAAATGACATACTAGAAATGCTTTTTTTTTAATGCAAACTGATACATGCAGTCAAACACAGGTTCCAAATTTAATATGAATTTCATTTTCATAGAGATCAGGAAAAAATATAAACATCAGAAAATGCTCCAGTTTCAATTGTGTCACTGAGAAACAAATTGGGGAAGAGTTGGGTTCTTGGGATAGGAAGTAGGAGAAGAGAGAAGAAAAATCAGTAGTTCTTTTTTCACATCTTAACATAAAGCCACCTGAAAATAATTATGTGCCTGTGTCAATACTGAAAGTTCTTATACCGCTTTTGTTTATTTAGTCAATGTAAATCTTTAAAACTAAGACTTTCAAAACACAAACTGAAGAAGGATAAAAACATATTTGTCTCAGTTTCTCTAATGACTTTAAAACTGAAAAACTCTCATTGATGTGCCTAAACCAGATACGTTCAACTCATCTTAAATGTTTTCTATTTAAACTCATGCAAAAAAAAAAAATATCTAAAATATTCCACTCCTGGATATTTACCCAAAGGACACAGAATCATTAATTCAAGAGGGCACCTGCACCCCTATGTTTATCACAGCACTATTTACCATAGCTAAGCTATGGAAACAACCCAAATGCCCCAAAATAGATGACTGGATCAAGAAGATGTGGTACATATACACAATGGAATACTATTCAGCAATCAAAAAAGATAAACTCATACAATTTGCAGCATCATGGATGGAGCTGGAAGGGATCATGCTCAGCGAAATAAGGCAGAAAGAAAAAGGAAAATAGCGGATGGTCTCACTCATAGCAGGAATTTAGAAAACCTAAATAAGGGGCCAGGAGAAAGACTAATTATAATGAAGTAAAAATCAAAATCAACAAGCAACTATAAGCCAGAGACACACTACGAGGGGGGGAGGGGGTAGGAGGGATTAGGGTCAAAATACGGAGGGTGGGAATTGTATGGGGAATATAACCAAGATAAAATCATACATTGTTCAAAAATGAAAAATGATGTAAAAAATATATAAAATAAAATATAAAAAAATTTAAATAGTAAATAACTAAAATAAAACTCAAATTAATACACAGCAAAACTATCCAAATACTCAGCAAAAATCGTTCGTGGTGCCATTCGCGGAAATCTGATGGTTCCCTCCTCAGGGAGTAGGGGAGCCTGTGCAATGAATAAGATATAGCAGAAATGAGAGTTTGGTTGTGTAATCAAAGATACTGCAGTTTCCATTTCACTCTCTGGCACTCGCTGTGAGGCAAGCCAGCTGCCACATCAGAGAGACACAAACCATTCTATGGAGAGCTCCACATGGGAAGGAAGTGAGGTTTCCAGTCAGCAGGCGGCGCAGAATTGCCCATCTGGTGACTGTGGCATCCAGCAAGGACACCCTCCAGTCCCATCCAAGTTTCAAGATAATGGCAGCCCCCAATGGGTCCTTGACCACAACCCCAGGAGAAACCTCAAGGCAGAATCACACAGCAAAGCTGTTCTTGGATTCGTGACCCACAGAGACTGTTTAATAATAAATTTTCTTTGTTTAAGCTGCTAGGTTGGGGGGTGATTTGTTACCCAAAAAATAACTTTAAAAAGGCTCTAGGGGTAAAACTTCAGAGCTTCTGCTATTTCATAGC